TACGGATTGATTTTATTCTATTATACATTAGATATTGATTTTATTCTATTATACATTAGATATTGAATAATGCTACTCCATACTCGACCCAACCGGGATGAATCAATAACCTGATCAATTCGAGTTAGCTAACGGATTGATCATGCAATGGACTCGATGAGAACCAGTTTAACTTCGCCGTATTTTTAAAAATCGGTGATTCGATCATTTTTAATTAACCCGATCGGGTCACACATTTTTTTTTAATAAATTAAAGCGAAACAATGTCGTTTTTAAAGCAACAACCAAATGCAAAATTCTAAGTTTGCAGTGCACCATTTTCAATTCAAAAATACACATACCAATCACTCAAAAAAACAAAATACGATTAAACATTTAAAGTTAAAAAAAATGAAATTGAAAAGAAAAAGGAAAACCCTATGTAAGTTGGACTAAATTTGAAAGCATAAAAGACACGGGGAGAACTAATTTGAAATTTAAAAAGTGATATTAAATTTTTAATAATGACCTTATGAATAAATTTTTTTTGTCATAATTAGGGAGGGACTATGTAACATCTCGGTCGTTGACGAGGGTGGGAAGCGATCGCCGGTGCGAAAAGGCATGGACAATGAGCGACTCCTGACAGGCATCCAGCGGGGGGTTACATGAATGAATTGAATCGACATCCGAAAAAGAGGGATTCCAAAGACTGTGCAGGTATGAGACTGTACAGTTTGTGATAGCTTATAAGAATTTATTGGTACTACCTATACTAACAAGATGCATCTACTTTTCGATATCCTGGAATAGAAGAACTCCATAGTTAAGCATGCTTGACTTCCAGTAATTATAGGATAGGTGACCTCCTGGAAAGTTTTCCTAAGAAGTGTGCGAGTGAGGAAAAAGCACATTGAAAATTCTCGTGTTAGTATGTGGGGATAGTCATTGATTCTTGAAGCAGTCGAGAGTTACAAGTGGTATTAGAGAAGGGCCTCTTTCCCAGTACGATGTGGTTCGAGGGAGGGGAATGATCGCAGGTGTGAAAGGGCATGGACAAGGAGCGACTTCTGATAGGATTCCAGCAGGGGGTTACATGAATGAATCGAATCGACACCCGAAAGAGAGGGATTCCAAAAACTGTGCAGGTATGAAACTGCATAGTTTGAGATATCTTATAAGAATTAATTGGTACTACCTATACTAACAAGATGCATATATTTTTCGGTAGCCGGGAATGGAAGAACTCCATAGTTAAGCGTGCTTGACTTGCAGTAATTCTGGAATAAGTGACCTCCTGAGAAGTTTTTCCAAGAAGTATGCGAGTGAGGAAAAAACATACTGAATAGTCTCGTGTTAGTATGTGGGGATAACCATTGATTCTTGAAGGAGTCAGGCTAAGCATGGAAAAATGAACTACAAAAATGTAATAGCTTTATAGTTATGAAAAACAAGTAAATCCTCATCTAGCAAACTAATCATTTGAGAAGGAGGCCAGTGGAGACGATGATATCCTCTTCTATACCAAGGCCTTGTTCACAAACCAATCATTGTATTTATTGCCAGACATAATTTTAGATAATTCTAAATAAACATAATTATGAATTTTGCTAAATATAAAAGTTACTATGAAAGAATTTTCAGTATAAAATATAAATTTATATACACTTAACTGGGTCATACAATTCAATCAATGTCTTACTAATTCAATACCTCAATCGAGTCAATAATTAGTCCAAATTTAATAACATCCAAGCTACTACAAAAATTATCAAATGAAATAAAAGAATTATGTCAATTTAACAAAGGGAAAATGATTTCTACCTTTGAAATATAAAATATTTCTATGAGAGAAAATAAAAGAGAGAAACCCATTAAAAAAAAAAACTCATAAAATAATCAACGTCACTCATTTTTCTATCGATGACTGAGAAATATTTTCTGCAGAAATCATTTATTAGTGTATAGAGTATCATTTTCATTCTTTGACCTGGACGAATAAGGCATCCCTTGACCTGAACATAGGCGGGTCTTTCACGTACTTTGTAACGTAGGGTCCCGGTTTAGGAGGTGCAGACAAATTACGTCAAGTATTTTATTTTATTTTTTAATCCAAATTATTAAAGGGATAACATTGACTCCTAGTGTCCGGAAAATGACATTTTTATTTTCTTTATAGAAATTATATTGTTTCATTCCGGAATAATGTCAATTGCGTAGATTTTCTATTCATAAATTCTCGTAATTGCGTCGTGTAACGTCCGGTAATTAATAATTGTTTTCATACAAAACTTTTCCGTGTAATTTGTTTTTACTCACACATTTTTTAAGAAAATTTCTCAAAAGGTCATCTATCTCAAAATTATTCCAAGTCAAAAATACTTAACTATAGAATTTTTTTGTTTCGAGCTATCGAAAAGTAGATGCATCTTGTTACTATATATAGTACCAATTAATTCTTATAAATTACCTCTACTATCCCATACCAACACAGTATATGGAATCCCTCTCTTTCATGTGTTGATTCGATTCATTTATGTATCCCTTAACTGCAAGGTTTGGCATGAGTCGTTCATTATTCGTGCTTCTTTTGCATCGGCGATCACTCCCTACCCTTGCCAGCCTTTTGAGATATTATATGTCCACCAGCTTCCGCTTGGTTCGTTCTATAACCACATCGTACTGGAAGAGAGGCTCTGCTCTGATACCACTTGTAATGCCCGACAACTTATAAGGATCAATGATTGTTCCTACAAACTAACACGAGACTTTTCAGTATACTTTGTCTTCACTCACACACTTCTGGAGAAAACTTTGCAATAGGTCACTCATCCTAGAATTGCTACAAGTCAAGTTCGTTTAACTATGGAGATCTTCCGTTCCGGGATACCGAAAGATATATGTATCTTGTTAGTATAGGTAATACCAATTAATTCTTATAAGCTATCTTTAACTATACATTTCATACCGTCTCTAGAGTTTCTCTTTTTCAGGTGTTGATTCAATTCATTAATTCTTATTATATGTGCTTCTTTTACACCAACAATCACTCGTAACCCTTTTGAAATGTTACACGTTGTAGAAAATTCTTTTGGATACGGTGGTTTGTAAAAAAAAAATTTATAATTGTAAAAGTACAAGTGCATCACAAAAATCACGTGTAACGACTGTTCTCAATGCAAGAATAACTTGTTTTCGTGGAACTGACATAAGTCTATGTTGAAAGTCTTCTCTCCTTATTATTATTATTTTTTTTTTTGGAAAGATTCTCTCCTTATTTTATTTTCCTTTGGTGGCTACTCCCTATATTTCATTGTTTAGGGAAAATTTGATAGGTCCTAAATATTCAAAACACAGAATGTGAAAAACTTTTCTGTCTTGTTTTGGCTCATTAACCCCAAATTTTGTAAAAATAATTCTAAAAATTATAACTATTTTTAATTTTTAAAATTAAATTTAAAGAATATATTTCCATCGTTTCTATTTTGTATTTTGATTTTTAATTTTTAAAATAAAAAATAAAAAATAATTATTTCATCAACTATTATTGTAAATAATTTTAAGAAATCAAACACACCCGTTGGTCTCTTGAGCGTTACATCACTTGACGCGGATATTTATCCAGACATTTCTTACTAATCATGTTGCTACTTTATATCCTGATACAACAAAAATATTTTTCTCTTTATTTTCTTATTGTCAGGTGGATAGCTAACCTCAAAAAGCGTTTTTTTTTTTTTTTTTTTTTTTTTGAGTTATTAGTGTAAGATACGTGTTTGACATGGACACGTTCCGACACACGTTCGACATACGGTCAATATTTTGGGACACGTGGTCAATTTTCTAACACGCTTCAACACATTTTTTTGACACGCAGTCAATTTTTTCTGACAGGTGGTCAACGTTTGGATTTTTTTTTTAGTCTTAATTTTATTTCATTAACTAAAAATAAAAAAATCATTTATAAATCAATTTTTTTATGTTATGAAATTTGACATGAAAAATTAACAAGGTAAGAAAAATTATTATTTTTTATATTTATGTTATGAAATTTAAATATTTGATTGATTATATGACTTATTATGAATTGTTATATCTATTAAATATAAATATATTATATATTAAAAATATTATTTAATATTAAAACTTATCCCAATTCTCAATATATCAAAATATGCTATTTTTTAAAATTAATATATCGACGAGTCGTGTCTCGTTTCGCGTATGTACCTTTGCATCATAGTAGCTAACCCACTGTAAAATTAACCAAGTTTGTATTCTAAACTCATTTACAAAGGAGCGTCCCGGTTTACAAGGCTTGGACACGTGTTAGTGGCAGGAAATATAGGACCGCAGTACAGCAATTTTTATTTTATTATATTGTTAAGTCTATGTTGGAAATAGAGTAGCGAGAATTGCAACAATCACCAAACATGACCTGATATACGGTAAATATGCAACTTAGTTGTTGTGTTTTTTTTTTTAGATATTCTAATTGTAATATGTCTATCGCTTTCCGATTAATTTTTTGGGGCTAAAATTTGAAAAATAACTAGAACTTTTAGAATTATTTTTACAAAATAGACATTATAAGAAAAAATAATTTATTTCTTATTCTAAAAATTAAAAAATTATTTGTGAGAACTAAATTAAAACAGAGCCCTTGGTCTCTCCCCCAATAACAGTGCCCCGCACATTTATTCCAACTATTTAATCTCCATCAATATCTTCAACTTCTGCGGGTTGCAGACAACAATTATTGCAAATTTGTCCAAGGTTAAAACTGAGCTTGGTCAAGTATTTTTTATTTTATTTTATTGATCAAATGTACATTTTCTACGAGATTATTCAAACTGACCGGTGATGCTCTATAGTAAATATATGAACGACCTGCTCATGTTCTAGTCAAGTGACCCCACGCAAAGAGACCAAGTCAGCCCGCCATGAACAGTGCCCTTTGAATTCATGTTATTCCAACACAAATACATACAATCTCCATAAATATCTTCGAATTCTGTGGTTGTATGCAGCAGTTATTGCCAAATGGCCATTCTTCATGTCATACTTGTTATTTCCAAGTTACTATTGTTCTTCTCTCAAATTTCATCTTCAACTGATACCATTACCCTGTTTCAGTCCCTCCCTGATGATGACCGCACCTTGGTTTCTAAGGATGGAACCTTTGAGTTGGGGTTCTTCAATCCTGGTAGTTCCTCAAACCGCTATGTTGGAATATGGTACAAAAACATCCCAGTTAGAACTGTTGTTTGGGTTGGTAACCGTGACAACCCTATCAAAGACAACTCCAGCAAATTAATCATAAGCAAAGAAGGAAACCTTGTGCTTCTAAGCCAGAATCAGACTCTTCTTTGGTCAACAAACTCCACAAGAAAGGCTTCAAATCCCATTGTGCAGCTCTTGGACACTGGAAATTTAGTTCTTAGAAACGACAAGGACAATATCAATGAAGAGAATTTCCTGTGGCAGAGCTTCGACCATCCTTGTAATACAATGTTGCCAGGAATGAAGCTCGGATGGAACCTAAAAACCGGTCTTAATCGACGCTTTACTGCTTGGAAGAATTGGGATGACCCTTCTACAGGAGACTTTACTTGGGGTATTGTCCTTACTAGCAACCCAGAAATGGTATCGTGGAAGGGCACGGTTGAGTCCTACAGGAGTGGCCCTTGGAATGGCTTTCGATTCAGTGGTTCACCCTCAATGAGAGATAATCCAGTTTATGACTATGAGTTTGTCAACAACTCAGATGAGGTCATTTTCACATACAACCTCAAAGACAAGTCTGTTATTTTAATAATGGTTATAAACCAAACCCTTCATCTTCGTCAACTCTTCACATGGATTCCAGCAAACAGAACTTGGACGATTTACCATTCTATTCCGAGAGACAAATGTGATTCTTATAATCTTTGTGGCCCAAATAGGAATTGTGTTGAAGGTCAATCACCGATTTGCCAGTGCTTAGATGGGTTCAAACCGAAATCATCACAAGATTGGACACAAGGTTGTGTTCGGAATGAACCATGGAGTTGCAGGGTCAAAGATAAAGATGGTTTTCGTAGATTTGCTGGGATGAAAATCCCAGATACTACACATTCTTGGGTTAATGGAACTATGTCACTAGATGAATGCAGGGTCAAATGCTGGGAAAACTGTTCCTGCACGGCTTATGCAAACACTGACATAGGAGGAGCAGGTAGTGGCTGCGCCATGTGGTTCGGTGATCTTAATGATTTGAGAATTATAGAAGGTGGACAAGATCTGTTTATTCGAATGGTTACTTCAGATATAGGTGAAGGCTTTTATGTTCTTGTAACTATCTTCAATAAATAGATGTCATCACTTTTATTTCGGACTGACTAGTGTTTCCTCTCTTTGTTTAGCTGTAAATGAAGGTGCAACAGATGCAAAAAAGGTTGCCTTGGCAATTACCATGCCACTTCTATTTGTCCTTGGGTTGCTTCTCGCTTTCTGCTACATTTACAAGACCAGAAGAAAGTACAGAGGTAAATTTCCTCGGCCAACAGGTTTTGTTAATTTCACAATCTTTCTGAAGTTTGTTTTGAAAAGCTACAACAGAGTTAAACATTCTATTTTTAGATAGAATGATTACGCTGGATTCAATAGTACTCCTCCTAAGACCAATCCTAACAGCTTAGAAAGTACAGGGCACTTCACAAAATTTATCCCGTGTGCTTAAACCGCCACCCCTGCAATATTATTAGTGTAACATATTTTGGTTTGCCATTCTAGACCTTTCAAACTCGTCAATTAAAATAATAATTTCATTTACACCGTACTTATTGTTATGGTATTTAATAAGATCATTGTTTTCTTTATGTTGCCGTAAATTTATTTTTGGCAACAATGGATTATAATTATATATTTTAGAAAATATATAATTATAATCTTAAAAAAAAAAAATTCTCTTTTAAAAATTATCTACTAGAAAAAAAAAATTGCCATTATAACTATATATATTCCCGAGTCGATGCAAATATAAAAAGTACATTTCCCCTTTAATAAACATTATTCGTTGCATCCACGGTCCATCGAACCATAAATGTTTAGTTTATAGTACCTAAAAAATAAAAAGACTATTCGTGATTTTTAAAAAATTTAAAATGAATTTATTTTAGTTTTTTTAGGGACTAATGTGGATTTTTTTTGAATTTACGAGAAACCACAATTTCAATTAAACGAGTCTATTTTGAATTTATTACAGACCACGAATAGTATTTTTATTTACTTGGAACTAAAACAGATATTGTAAAATTTGTTGAGGACCAAAAAAAAATATTTACTCTTTAATTTATTTGGATTTTTATTGTGTTCTGTGATAGGTTGTCTTAATGTATACTGTTAAATTTTTATAACATTGGATTGATCTAGAAATCCGATAAAAAGCTGATCCTGACTCCTATAACTGGGCATTTTCATATAAAGAAAACACAATAGGCTAGTTTTCAATTGGAACACAAATGATTGTCATTTCATATCAATGTTAAGATTTTTTTATTTATTTTACGAATGCTATTGATCTCATTTAATGATTCAAAGAGAAAACAGAGACAAACATATCAACAGAAAAGACACCTGAAGAAGGAAGAGAAGATTTCGAGCTTCCATTCTTTGATCTTGCTACAGTGATTAATGCCACCAATGACTTCTCAATTGACAAGAAGCTTGGAGAAGGTGGTTTTGGACCAGTATACAAGGTAATATGCAACATTATTCTAATAATATAAAAAATTTATTCATATCCTATTTCCATTAGAAAAAAAAAAAGAAATAAAAGAATTCTTCTTTTTAATAACCTCATTTTTATGACAAAAGAAAAATCACAAATCTTTTTATTTCACTCTCTTATAAGTTTTCTCCAACTTTGAAATTTAGGGTATCCTAGTAGACAAGCGAGAGATTGCTGTAAAAAGACTTTCAAGAGTTTCTCGGCAGGGTCAACAAGAATTTAAGAATGAAGTTATATTGTGTGCAAAACTTCAACACCGAAATCTTGTTAAGGTTATTGGTTGTTGCATTGAAGGAGAAGAGAAAATGCTGCTTTATGAATACATGCCCAACAAAAGCTTAGATTCATTTATTTTCGGTCAGTCGCTCTGCTTAAGCTTATAGCTAATAAAAGTTTGATTAGTTTAAAAGTTTGTTTTAGAAAGAAAAGACTAATAAATATAATGGAGATTTTGACAGATTCTGCTCAAAGTAAATGTTTAGATTGGAGTAAACGCTTTAACATTATAAGTGGAATTGCTCGGGGTCTTCTTTACCTCCATCATGACTCTAGACTAAGGATCATACACAGAGATCTTAAAGCAAGTAACATTTTATTAGATAATGAAATGAACCCAAAGATTTCAGATTTTGGCTTGGCCAGAATATGTGGAGAAGATCAAATTGAAGGGGATACAAGTAGAGTAGTTGGTACATAGTAAGTATATCTTCAATGATGCCAAGTTTTTATTGTTACTTATAAATAAAAGCCTGATTAATTCATTTGTGGTTCATTGCAGCGGTTATATGGCACCTGAATATGCAATTGATGGGATATTTTCCATCAAATCTGATGTTTTTAGCTTCGGAATATTATTACTAGAGATTGCAAGCGGAATGAAAAACAAAGGGATTTACTATCCAAGCCACAGTAATAATCTTATCGGGCATGTGAGTAATAAAATAACTTCAATTTTCCTATAAAGAAGTGGTTGATAACCTTTGGTTTGAATTGTTGTAGGCATGGAAGTTGTGGAAGGAGGGCATCCCTATGAAATTGATTGATACTTGTTTGCAGGATTCATGCATTCTATCTGAAGCTTTACGCTGCATTCAAATTGGCCTTTTATGTGTCCAACAACTTCCTGATGATAGGCCAAACATGAAATCTGTGGTTGTAATGTTGAGCACTGAGAGTTCTTTACCTGAACCGAAAGAGCCTGGTTTTTTAATAGAAAAGGACACAATTGAAAGGGAATATTTATCAATGAGGCTAACATCTTCAACAAATGAAGTAACTATCTCAATGTTAGAAGCCAGATAAAGAAAGTATTTTACTTATTACTTCAAATATGGGTGATTTAATTTGCATATTCTCAGAACATTAAAAATGCTTTAGTCCTGTCACTTTAAATGACTCACATTACTCTCATTTATTTGGTCCTTAATGTTTTATATAGTTTGTATATCTATAAATCTCTGCGATCTCTATATATTAGCCTGTAGATCGATCAAAGATTTATGTAAATTAACCTAAAAGTCAGTCTAAACTATACATTGAATGGAAAATAAAATCTAAGGCCTTGGAGCCATTCAGTCAAAATTACATCATGTATCAAGAGCCTAATATTTTTTCTCCTAGTGCAACTCTGGGATCTGAGAGAAATTTTTCATCTTTTTTCTTGGTTCGTTTCTTTCTCTGGTATATACTGATGGGTGTTATTTAGTCTGTCTGATCAATTTTCTGGATTTTGGTTAAGAAGAAGTGCACGAATTTAGTAAAACTTTTCAATTTCTACAATTTTGTTAATAAAAAATATATTTAGACGTTAATTGTGTTCATTAATTTGAAATGGATGGTACTAGCCTCGAGTTTGTGTTAAATTTACTAGTAGGAAAAATACAACTTGGGAATTAAAGGAGTTACAATCACATTGGTTCAATTAAAATCACGGATAAATTTTTTCTTTTAAACATTGTTCATTTATTTTTTAAAACAAAATCGTATTTAATATAACACAGACCGTAATTGTAACCATGTAACATTATCTAAACTGAGACCACTATACTTAACCATTAACTCTAACCTTTCGTTTTGATAAGCTAGACGTCTAGGGCTCTCTGAAAAAATATTACAATAACCATTTAGTTAAGTATAGCAGGAGTTATTAAACTCGCAGGGTAACTAATGAAATCGAACTTTTAGAATTGTAGTATCAACTTCAATCCTAAACTGGTATTGATATATGTAAGGACCCGCACCGTTAATTTAGTAATTAAATTAAATTAAATATGAGATTAAGAAATAATTCCATAATTGACGTAGAATAAATATGGGAAGACTTAAATGATTGTAATAAGGTCTTAATAATATTGAAAGTCGTTTTTCTGACGAAAAGTGCAGATACCAGTTTTGTTTCTTGCTATAATTGTGTACCGATGAAGTATCCCAAAAAATTATAATAAGTACATGAATATTCCTAGAATAATATCTAGGACTAGTATGCCAAGTTTGGAGTCAAAATAATGAGAACTGGCGTCAAGACTGATACTGGCTACGTAAAAATGCGTACCAGCAAAGTGCTGCAAAAATTGTAATAAAAATATGATAATTCCTAGAAAAATGGCTAGGTTCAGAATCCAAAGTTTGAGATTAAAATGATTAGCGGAGCTATTAGTGCTAATATCGACGCTTAAAACTTAATGACCCTATAAATACTAAGTGGCACAGATTTTTAGGTCAGCTCCACATTTTCTACGTGCCTCTTTATGAAGCTTTGAGCCTCCTAGCTTGACACCTTTTTCTTCTTCATGAAAACTCAAGCAAAACTCATCCTTTCTCTTTGATTCCTTCTCCAAATATGGTAAACACTTGGGCTGCCCATTTTCTTTGCTTGTGTTGTCTTAAGAAGCCATTTTGTTGATAAAGGACCAAGCTTGCAAGGCAAATTCGTGGCCTTGTGAAGTCAGAACTTTGGGACTTACTTGAGAGCTCCATGAGCACATTTGGTTTCTGTTTTGAGCTTTTGGGGTATGTTCCTCACCTTTGATCATGAGTTTCCTTGTTAAAGATCAAGTCTTGGCATGAAAAATTATAGGATTAAGTTGCTAACATCATCACTAGTCTAAATGGGTTTAAAGATGCATGCTTTAACATGTATATGTGTTAAAAATGGAACCTTGGTTGGATATCCTGGCGAAAATGAAGAACTGCATTCTGTCGCGAAATATCCGGATATGATATCCGGATATAGATATTCAAATATGGGGTTGGTGATATCTGGATATGAATATCCTTATATAGCCCCGACATATATCCGGATATTCTGAGAAATTCGAGTTGGGTACTGTTTTGTTCATACAGAATTGTACATTGGGTTTATGGACCCTAGATTGGTTGATGTGAATCTCTGTAATAATTGAACTAAGTAAGAATCACTTAGATTAAGGGCTTATGGCTTTGGGAGAAGCCTAAAGGCATGAAACTAAAAAGGAAACATTGTCATAATGTAAGGAACTTATAGATTTTGAATGTTGATGATAATTCTGGTCTAAACAGATTGTGATTTTGTTGTTTGGTGACCGTGGGCTGTTGTGGACTCTTGAGTTGGATTGTTAGCTTGTGATGTAAGCTTTCATGTCCTCGGTTTTGCCAATTGTTGGTTTCACCATTCCTCATGGAGGGATGGTTTATATGCATTATGTGTTTTCATGAAATGATGATTATTGAAATGCTATTGAGTTGTTAAGTGTAAGTGCCTTATGACATGTATGTGGTATTCCACCTAGATGGTAAGCCTGAGTATGTGGAGACATACAAGATGATGATTCTATGGGTGAGGTACAAGCGGTGTTTCTTGTACTGTAGGTTGTAGACGTTTGTAATTCCTGCATGTTTATTCTCTGGCCAGTAGGATTATTACACACATGACATGATTATATGCTGCATTGCACGAATTTTGAAACTTACACTGTTATACTGCTTTTGAACTTATATTGCACATGTAAGTGAGCTTGGGATTGAGAGATCATTGAGGACCCCTTGTCTTACTGAGATTTTTTTTTAGAGATCTCACCCCGTGTTGGGGCACATTTTCAGGTTCAAGTAGCTCGGGGGTTGATACCTCTGGCAGCAGGAGGCCGGAGCTGAGTTGATTATGCATGTTGACTGTTGATATGCATGATTAGTGATTATGCTTTATTTTTAGTATCATGTTATTTGAGTTGAGACTTGGTTTTGCTATGTTGCCTTATTTGGTGAGCATGGGGTTGTCCATGCCACATTGTTTTGACTATGTTTATTTAGACTTCAGTTGTATAATGTATCAGGATTATTGTCCGGTCTACGTGTTGTAGCTCCGTGACTAGATACACATCTATACATAAGGTTATTCTGTTAGTTATTTATTGCAATTTACATAGAGACAATGTTTTTCAAAGGAATTAAGTAATCAACTTGTTTAATAATAATGACGTCATAATTGAAAAGAAAAAGTCAGCTTCCGCATTTAATTTAGCTGCGCCATTACCATTTGTATGATAATAAACCGGGTGCACACGGGGTGTTACAATATACTCATCCAATGGCTCTAATATTTTACAGGATTATATCCCTATGTGTTAGATTCACATATGTAACGCCTGGCCGCTTCAAGAATCAATGGCTATACCCACATACTAACACGAGACTTTTCAGTGTGCTTTTTCTTCACTCGCCCACTTCATGGGAAAACTTTCCTAGTGGTCACCCATCCTAGAATCACTACAAGTTAAGCATGCTTAACTATGGAGTTCTTTTATTTCGGGCTCCTGAAAAGTAGATGCATCTTGTTAGTATAGGTAGTACCAATTAATTCTTATAAGCTATACCCAATTGTGCAGTCTCATACCTACACAGTCTTTGGAATCTCTCTCTTTCGGGTGTCGATTCGATTCATTCATGTAACCCTCATGCAGGAAGCCTTTCAGGAGACGCTCCTTGTCCGTGCCCTTTTGCACCATGCCCTTTCGCACCGGAGATCACTCCTCGCCCTCGTTAGCGCTTGGGATGTTACAACATAGGTTCAAACCTCACTCAATTTGGAGCTTTGTAGCTCGAGTTATGCCAATTTTACTAAACTACATTTGTACTGCAATCGGGCAGCGCACTTAAGCGCTCTCTTCGAACAAATTTTTCGCTCGTAGCCCTGGCAAGGGAAATTGGTATTTTTAGGCCACCAAGAGCGCTTTAGAACCCTCTAGGTTGCTTTAGCATGCTCCAACAAATAAAAACATGTTCAATTTGCATAATGGCACAAAACAAGATGGAGAATTGGGTGAATTAGATACCTAATAGACTAGGGATGACCAATAATGATCCAACAGATATTGTGGCACTCACATCCCACCATTTTCATCAATTTATCTCTTACATAAGTCTTTTTACAAGTCTATAATAAGCAATAACATAATTATTAGATTACATCAATTGTCTCCATATCTCAAATACATCAATGCATTCCAAAAGAACTTAGCTACTACACACATGATCAAAGTCATTGACTATATACAACACGTAACAACTAAGATCACAAAGATCATGGGCTAAGTCCCAAAATATACATCATATGGCCTCAATATTACATATACATATGATGAAACTAAATGACATGCACTCCAAAATGACAGGCGATCAACATATAACAATCTAGCTCAAATGGGGTCCCCATAATACGGGGTGAGATATACATATATCTCTGTAAACTAAGAGTCCTTCGAGGATTTCTCCACCCCAAAGTTCACTTGGCATAAAAGCATGACATTATGACAATGAAGCATATAAGTATATAACAATGTAATGTGTGAAATAATGAATCTGCTGGCCAGATATCTACAACGTATGCATTACGTAAGGAAGCAACCGTCTTGCAACATACCATGCATAAGGAAACAACTGTCTTGTGTGGCACACAAAACAATATACACAAGTTAATAAGTAAGAAATGAAAAAGGATGGTCTTAAATCATGTGTATATTTCGACTATATGATTTAATAATAAGCAAATTAAAGATTTTTATAAGTTGAATTAAGATTATTTTAAGTTGTTTTAAGAGATAAGTTATGGTAAAGTTAAGTTAAAAGGTAGAAAAATTGTAAGTCTTTTGCTAAGTCTATGTTTTGGATATGTTAGTATTTTCAGTACAAAGTCTATATTATGTTAATATGGGAAGTCTAGATGTTTAATGTAGAGACTTGTTAGGTGGCATAAATGAATAAGTAAGATTGTGTCAGTATGGAAGATTACGAACTATACACGGAAAACGTAGATTTCTTCAAGTTAAGAAAGTTTTGGATTGATAGTTAATGATGTCCACGTTTATGTATTTTAGTTTGGAATCAAGAGAAGTGAGTTAAGCGGACCAATTTCAAGTAATTAAGTATAAGGAAAGCTGCTTACAAGTAAGCTTTTGGTTTAAGGAGTTTTATCCTTTCTTCTTGATCCACTATGATCCGGTGGGATGATGGTTAGGATATCTGTATGTTTGTATGTTTTATATGTTAGATACTTAGTATAGTTGCATTTATATAGATTATATGATATGATATTATATGATATGATATGATAAGTATGGTGCTTGATCAATGAACAACTTTGTGGGGGGACTTCGGTTCTCGGAGAATAAGTGTTGACTGGTCAAAGTGAGAAATTACGCTTTGGGAGTTCATAGACTGGTCAAAGTGAGAAATTATGCTTTGGTAGTCTTCTGATAAGTTATGATATGTTTATATGATATATGCTATGCTCTGTATCTGACCTTTCATGCAGTAAGTGAACTCATAAGTTGAGATTACTCCATAAACCCAGAGTCTTATTGGGATTAATTTCTCACCCGTTGTGAGCTTTGATTTAAATCATAGGTACATCAGTAGCAGGAGAGCCTCCAAAGAGCAAGAGGCCAATGCAAAGTGGCTATAAGATAAAGTTACAGTAGTAGTTTTATGTTTTGATATATGTTTTGGAGACATGATTAGATATGATGCATGTTATAGTTGACATCTATTTTGGTAGGCATATGTAGCCTATGAACAAGTTTATATGTTTGATGTTACTTTCAGTATGTATTTGGTATGAGTATGATATTCAGTATAATATATGATGTATATTCAGTTTCGTGATTTGTGTATTAGTTACGATTATTTATAAGTTATGGAAAATAATTAAGAACACTGTACAGGTATGGGAGTGTACAGATAATAATAAGAGATTGAATAATGAATTAAGCATGGCAATACATATAAAAAGAAAAGAAAAAGTTTACTCACATAATTACACTAGGTAATGGTGAAATGCAAATAAAGACTTCCGCTAAAGAAATTTTCATGCGCATAAAAGTACCATATGTAAGTTAACAATCCGATTAATGAAATTGGGGCGTTATATTATGGTATCAGAGCATGGTCTAGGAAATTCCTTATGTATTGCCATAAGTTAGATACTCTGAAGTGATTCTAGGTAGTTACTATGATTAGGGAGGTGCGACCACCTAGTGTGGGCCTGATCAACTCATTCCTTTGTGTAACATGTGCAGAGTCATGGTACCTCCTAGGAGAACTCAGGGATCATCGAGTCGTCAGCCAGATCCTATATCCGCAGATTTGGCTGAAATGCAACAACAAATAGATACCAATAGACAAACTGATATGGATACCAATAGGCAAACTTATTAAGCGATGCTAGATTCCAACAGAATTAATAATGAACATATGATGAGAATTTTGATGGAAGAGCTTAGGGCCGACATGAATGTAAATCAACCGCCACTTTCACCTACGCCACAGCCGCAGCCTCAACCACTCTCACCACGTCATGTTATGTATGCAGAAGGAGGAGCTGGTGCTGGTGTCGTTCATTTGAAAGCATAAGCTAATCATCATGATGAAAATATTCGGATGCAAATAGATGATGATGAAAGAAGATTAATTGCATTTAGAAAACACAAACCTCCGTCTTTCGGTGGAACTCGTAACCCTATAGTAGCAGCTAATTGGCTTCAAGCTATGGAAAAGATCTTTAGGGTTATGAGGTCTCAGGATAAGATGAAACTTCTATACTCCGCTTATATGTTGGAGGGTGATGCTAACGAGTGGTGGTTCAATACTACTCAACCTTTAGAATTGCAGGGTCATGTCATTACTTGGAATATGTTTGAGGGTCTATTCTTGGAGAAATATTTTCCTCAGGATGCTGGGGAAAGGAAACAGAGAGAGTTTGAACGACTTGTTCAAGGCCCTATGTATATCGATGATTACTTAGATAAGTTTAACGAACTTTTTAAGTTTGCAAACTATAGAGGCGTTATGCCTTCATCTGAATTTCTAGCTGTCAAATTTCAAAGGTGTTTAAATGAGAAGATTGCAGAATTGATGGCTTGTAGCAGATCTAGAGATTTTGCTACCTTGGTTAATCAATGCAGGAAAGTTGAGGATGTCTGTAACCTGTCAAAGAAGTCTTCTGATGGTAAAGGGTCTGATTCGAAAGCTTCCACTAGCAGAAATCAATGGTGGAAAAACAAGGGGAAAGGAAAGAATTTACATGTTAAGCAATCTAGTGATGAATTCAAGAAACTTGGGAATCCCTAGAGTGGAAATTTCAAATCTTTTCTAAAGTGTTCTAAGTGCGGTAAGATGCATCCTGGTATCTATAGGAGAGATCAAAACTTATGTTTTAAGTGTGGCCAGATAGGTCATTATATAAGGGATTGTCCAAAGCTCGGAGGACGGGCTACAGCTATACAGGCTATACCTTTTCAAGCTTCTCCTTTATAAGTTATCCCAAATCAGACTATTACAAATTCTATGGATCAGAGTACGATAGTTCAAACTCCTACTTTTACGGGTCATGTTCATACACTGGATCCACAACAGTCTGAGAGAGCTTCAAATTTGGTTTAAGGTACGATTTTTATAGATGGCATTGATATAAGTGTCTTGTTTGACTCTGGAGCTACTCACTCATTTGTTTCAAGTTTTGTTGCAATTGGTTTGAATATGCCTTTGTATGATTTTAAACCTCCGATGGTGGTTAAGACTGCCACAGGGGAAAAAGTTTTTTCCTCTATGTTATGTAAGGATGTTGAGTTTGTTTATGAGGGGAAAAATTATATGTTTGATTTGTATGTTTTGGAGGGTATGAGTCTGGAAATCATTTTAGGTATAGATTGGTTGATGAAGCATAGAGTTGTGATTGATTGCTGTAGTAAGAAGGTTATAATTTTTGCTAATAGTGATGTGCAAAATTCTCCTTATTTGTCTATGCTTCAGACTGTTAAAACCTTAAAGCAAGGAGATTGTGGATATTTTTTGTTAGGAGGTCTGGTCGGCAGTAGTAAAAAGTCGATTTCAGGTATTTCAGTGGTATGTGATTTTGAGGATGTATTTCCTGATGAAATTTCTCATTTTTCTCCATAAAGGGAAATTCAATTTTCTATAGACATATTCCTGGAGTGGGGTCTATTTCATTAGCTCTATATAGGATGTCACCTCTAGAGTTAGCTGAGTTGAAAAAGCAGATAGAAGATCTTTCTAGTAAGAACTTTATTAGCACGAGTGTATCCCTATTGGGAGCACCTGTGATCTTTGTTAAGAAGAAGGATGGAACTATGAGATTGTGCACAGATTATCATCAGTTGAATAAGGCTACAATTAAGAATAGGTATCCCTTACCTCGAATTGATGATTTATTAGATCAGTTGAGGGGTGCTTCTGTGTTTAGTAAGATTGATCTTCGGTCCAAATATCATCAGATTCGGATAAAATCGGAGGATGTTTCGAAGATAGCTTTTAGGTCTACGTATGGACATTATGAATATTTGGTGATTTCGTTGGACTTACGAATGCTCCAGTTGTATTCATGGACTATATGAATCGAATCTTTAAGCCTTATCTTGATCAGTTCGTGGTTGTCTTTATTGATGACATTCTTATTTATTCTAAGAGTGAAGAGCAGCATAATATGCATTTGAGGATTGTGTTGTAGATTTTAAAGGATAATCAGTTATATGCTAAGCCTTCCAAATGTGAATTTTGGTTATCTGAGATTCAATTCTTAGGACATGTCATTTCTTTTAAAGGAGTAACAGTTGATCCAAGTAAAATCAAAGTTGTTCTTGATTGGGAATGACCCAAGAATATTTTTGAGATTAGGAGTTTTCTTGGTTTGGCAGGATATTATAGAAGGTTCATACAAGGATTTTAACAGATGGTTTTACCTCCTACCCGTTTAACTAGAAATGGTAATCTGTTTGAATGGACTCACGAGTGTGAGGTTTATTTTCTGAAATTAAAAAGGAAGTTGACTACTGCTCCAGTCTTAATTCGTCCGGATTCTGCAGGTGAATTTGAATTATATTGTGATGCCTCGAAGATAAGGTTGTGTTTTGATGCAGAATCGTCAGGTGGTTGCTTATGCTTCGAGACAATTGAAGCTGCATGAGGGAAATTATCCTACTCATGACTTAGAGTTAGCAGCCATAGTGTTCGCCTTGAAAATATGGCGGCATTTTCTTTATGGAGTTAATTTTAAAGTCTTTAGTAACCATAAGAGTTTAAAGTATATGTTCGATCAGAAGGAATTGAATATGAGACAGAGAAGATGGATGGAATTTATAAAGGATTATGATTATGAGTTACTATACCATCCAGGTAAAGCTAACGTGGTAGCCGATGCTTTAAGTAGAAAATTTATTAGTATGGCTAGTTTGATGATAGCAGAGTACCAATTGAATGAGGATTTTAGAAATTTAAATTTGTCCGTTAGTTCAGCTGGTGGTAGTATAGAGAATCTTAATCTTCAGGAGCAAAATACTTTACTTGAGCGAATAAAAGAAGCTCAGCAACTTGATGTTGATTTAGTAGCTATGAAAGTGCAACCTGATGTTTCTTTGGATAGTCAAGGTTTAAGGTTATTTAAGAAAAGGGTAGTTGTGCCTAAGGGTCATATGGTAGATGAGGTATTAACTGAACCTTATAAGGGTCAGAATACTATTCATCCTGGTGCGACTAAGATGTACCAAAATTTGAAAAGGAATTTTTGGTGGTCTGGTATGAAGAAGGATATTGCTAAGTTTGTGAATAAGTGTTTAGTATGTCGGAAGGTAAAGATTAAGCATCAGAGGCCTTCTGGTTTACTTCAATCTCTTGATATTCCTGAATGGAAATGGGTTAGTATTTCTATGTATTTTATTGTGGGTTTGCCTAGGTTATTGTGGACAGATTGACTAAGTCTTCCCATTTTCTGCCAGTGAAAATTAGTTTCTCTACTGAGCAGTTAGCTCGTTTGTATGTTAAGGAAATAGTGAAACTTCATGGGGTTCCAGAAAGCATTATCAGTGATCGGGATCCAAAGTTCACTTCTCGTTTTTGGAATGCTTTGCAACAGGCTTTTAGTACCCAGTTAAGACTAAGTACAACCTATCATCCGCAAACTGATAGTCAGACTGAAAGGACTATTCAGACTTTGGAGGATATGCTCAAAGCATGTACGTTGGAGCAAGGATCAATATGGGATAAGTATTTAGCTTTGGTAGAATTCTCGTATAATAACAATTTTTATTCTAGTTTGGGTATGGCTTCTTTTGAAGCTTTATATGGCTGAAGGTGTAGAACACCTACTTGTTGGTATGAGGTTGGAGAAAATCAGTTATTTTGACCAGATATAGTTCAAGAGACCACAGATCATATAGTTTTGATAAGAGATAAACTTAAGAAAGCTCAGAGCCGTCAAAAGAGTTACTACGATGGTAAACATCGACCAAAAGAATTCTCTGAAAGGGATCATATCTTTGTCAGATTATCACCTGTTACGAGTGTTAGGTGTGCTCTAAGAGTGAGGAAGTTGAGTCCCAGATTTATTGGACCCTATCAAATTATTAAGAGGGTGGGACCAGTTGCCTATCAGCTTGCCTTACCTCCAAATTTGTCTAATTTACATGATGTATTTCACGTCAGTCAGCTCAGGAGATATGTTTCTGATGAATCCCATATCATTCAATCTGACAATGTTCAGATACGAGAGAACTTAAAGACTCCGGTGGGACCATTAAGGATACTTGATAGAGAGGAAAAGAAATTAAGAAGTAAGTCTATTGCTGTGGTAAAAATCCAATGGGAAGGAAAGACTATAGAAGAAGCTACTTGAAAACTGGAGGATGAGATTCTCTGACTTTATCCTGTGTTATTGCCAGGTATGTATGTGATTTTGAGGGCAAAATCTTAAAAAGGCGTGGTGATTATAACAACCCATATCAATAAGTATATGAAATTAAGGATTTAAGTAAGATTGATCTGTTAATCATGAAATTATCATGATATTAATTATAGGAATGTCATTTATGCCAAGCAAGTCAATTAGGACCTTATTAGTAGTATTTGGATGTTAAGGTCAAAAGTCAAAATTATGAGACAACTTAGGTACCATTTTGCAAATTAGCAAAATGTAAGAACCTGCACTGTTAATTAAGGAATTTACTTAAATAATTATGAGTTTCATGAGATAGTTCCATAATTGACCTTAATAATTATGAGAAGGCTTAAATAATATTGGTAAGTGATTAATATTGCTGAAAGTCACTTTTCGGACGCAAAGTGCAGATACCGGTTCTGCTCACGGTATAAGTGCGTACTGATGAAGTATCTCGAAAATTTATAATAAGTGCATGAATATTCCTGGAATTATATGTAGGACTTTGATTTTAAGTTTCAAGTTAAAAAGTGAGAACTGATGCCAGAACTGATACTGGCTATGTAAAAGTGCTTACCAGAAAGGTGCTGCGAAAAATAAAATAAAAATATGACAAATCCTATAAAAATGAGTAGGTTCAGAATCTAAAGTTTGAGATTAAAATGCTAAGCGTAGCTATTTTCGTTAATACTGTGTGATTACACTTAAGTGGACTATATAAGGACCTTTGCACAATAACCTAGGTCAGATGTTTGATGTGTCTACGTGAAAAACTATGGAGTCTTGGCTGCTGTCCATTTCTCTCCCTTTCCACCTTCTTGCTCCATAGAAAAACATCAAAGAAATCATCTTTCTACCTTGTCTCTTCACCTAAACACTATCCCTTAGTGTGAACTATCCTTTTGTGGGTGAGAGGTTGTTGTGTGCTGATTTTAGTGGCTGTTAGTGATGGTTTTATGGGCTGAGTTGGTGAACTACCTTGGTGGAGGCCTTGTTCATGTCATTTGTGGTGCCAAGAAGTGATCCTTTGGGTTAAAGGACCAAGCTTGGGGGTCAAATTCGTGTCTTTTCTAAGTCAGAACCTTGGTGTGTGGTTGGAGACCTCTTTGTTGTCTCATTTTCGGAGTTGTCTTAGAGGTATACCATGACCATAGCTTTTGTATTTTGATGTTTAAAGCTTGTTTAATCGGTTAAAACATAAAACATGGATCATTTAAGTAAATGAATATGTTTTTGAGTTCTTAACATACTTATGAACATCTGTTTAGGGAGTCATTGGACTCCCAATCGCTTTTGGACCCTTAAAAATTGGATTATGCAGAGTTCTGTTCGAAATTCTGCATTCTGTTGGAGAAGTATTCGAATACTTTTCGTGTAGTATTCGAATACTTGTCCTCTGGTA